AGGATGGGACACAATCAAATGTAAGACGGGGAGTTGAGAGTCCAGCAATCAGCTTGATCATCTAACACCTTCCAGGCTAGTCATCTGATGCCATAAGGGCATCTACTTTTGCATCCTGTATACTGGGCCTTTCTATAAACAGCAGGCTCTTTGTTTTCATCACAGTTGCAGGGGGAAAAGAAATGTCTGGAGGGGAAAAGCCCTTTAAGAAGACAGATATGAATGCATATGAGCAAAGGAAAGGAGAAGCAGGTGTAACAACTGGGACCCTCTTCTCATCATTGGTTTCTTCTTATCTCTATAGTAGAAATTGCATAAATAAGAATAACCAAGAGTTTCCTCAGCTAAACAGAAACACAAGTTGAGGACACACATGGCAAAACCAACATCTGTAGCTAGATCAGAGCTGTGCAGTGATGCAGATAAAGATGCTCTTTCTTATCCAGTTATCAGGACTGGGAGTTTGGCAAAGGAGACATGTACTTAACATGAAAGGAAAAGAATCCCCCACTCCTCCCATATTCACTGTTCCGCTGGAAAGCACAGCAGCGGCCGAGTGGCAATTTCCCCATTCACTAAGGAATATTGCCATTTTGGAAAAAGGGTATGTGGAGAGGAGGCATTAATAAGCTGTAGATTGCAGCCAGACTCATTGGACTCCATTCTTTCCCCGGGGGTAATGAAAGAAGAGAGGGAGGGTTAGTCAAATATTTTGCCTCTGTAGTTCAGAAGTTCCAGTAAAACAGGATAACTAAGCCACATGGAGACATTCACCAGGCACAGGAACCCAGACCCTCAAGGGTATTTAGGCTCCAACTGCCCAGGGATTTCAATAGGAGTTAGGCACCTAAATACATTGAGCTCCTGGGCCCCGGGGCTGCAGCATTTTGCATTCCATTCCTTTATTTCTAACAGCCCAGTCCTAGCAATCTGCTTCACAGCCTGAAGCACATAAACTGCTAGGCAGTTACCCAAGCTACTCATCCTGGAACAGGCTCAAGCAAAAGGATAAGAAGTGCATGCACTGCCCCAGCTGCAGAGCAGAGCACTTACTTGACTCAGGGATGAAACATCTTTGTCTCTCACTCCAGATTAAAAAATTATCCCCAAAACACAATGTTCTGGAACAGATCTAGAAGTGTACAGAGTAAAACGGAACATACCTAACCTGCCCCTATTTTGGGATAAGAGATTCCATGAATTTAAAATGACTTATGGAATGACAAACACCCGGAAGAACATCCTGTCCATTGAGTCAATCAGTCCTCAGTATACACACCCATCTGGGTTATCCTTCTTGTGTAGCTGGGCAAGTTACTGAAAGTGGGAGAATTCAAATACTTCCGTGCTAATTCTCTGAGGAGAAGGCTGTGGAAAGAGAGAGTTTGCAGCAGGGAGAAAAGAGATGAAGAAAGCAGGGAGTAATTTACATTGCCCTGTGCCAAAAACACTTAAGGTGAAAGGCTTGGGAGAGGAGTGGGGATAATCCAAACAAAAAGAGAACATTTGAATGCTGATTTAAAAATAAAATAAAATAAATTGCTTCTATAAAAGACTTTCAGAGTTGACTGAATTTTGGAGCAAACTTGAAAAACAAGCCATCCCCTGCACACACACAATTTATTAAGTTGCCTAGGAAGCACCTTTTCATTATACTCCTTGATAAGACCCGAGTGTGATGAGGAAGCACACCTCAGACTTGACAGCACAGTCTCAGAAAAGTAATTTGTTGATCCTACATGAAGCTGAGTTATTGCAGGAGTAGGAGGAATTACACTCCGTAAGTGCAGTCTTACTCCATCCGTCATAATCACTGATAGAAGTTTGCAGGCTTTCAATGCCATTATTCCTTCCTTGTTTAAAAAAAAGAAAAGAAAAGAAAACCACTGCGCAGACAGCCCCCTAGTGCAATGGTTCTCAACCAGGGGTCCAGGGCCCCATAGGGGGCCGAAAGCAGGTTTCAGGGGGGCCACCAAGCAGGGCCAGCATTAGACTCACTGGGGCCCTGACTCTGCCATAGGGTAACCAGACAGCAAGTGTGAAAAATCGGGTCAGGGGGTGGGGGGTAATAGGAGCCTATGTAAGAAAAAGACCCCAAAATCAGGACTGTCCCTATAAAATTAGGACATCTGGTCACCCGACCTTGCCACCTGGGGCTGAAGTCAAAGCCTGAGCAATGTAGTTTCACGGCGGCCCCCTGTGGTATGAGGCCCCAAGCAATTGCCCTGCTTGCTAGCCCCTAACGCTGGCCCTGGCTTTTATATGCAGAAAACCAGTTATTGTGGCACAGGTGGGCCATGGGGTTTTTATAGCATGTGGGGGGGAGGCCTCAAAAAGAAAATGGTTGAGAACCCCTGATCTAGTGATTTAGTGTACATTCTCACTGCAAAGCTGTTGGGTTACCAGCCTGAGTGAAAGCCTCACTCAGGATTTAGCCTGTAGCCCTGAATGGGCTGGCTAGCTTGTATTAAAAGCACCATTAAACTTCAGTCAGAGGGTTTTGTGAGTGGACTAGAGGGGGGTTTAGGGAAATACCTGAGTAAGGGTACGTCTATACTACCTGCCGGATCGGTGGGTAGTGTTCGATGTATCGGGGATCGATTTATCACGTCTCGTCTAGATGCGATAAATCGATCCCCGAATCAATGCGCGTACTCCACCTTGGCAGGAGGAGTAAGCGGAGTTGACAGGGGAGCCACGGCGGTCGACTCGCCGCCGTGAGGACAGCCAGGTAAGTCGAACTAAGCTACTTCAACTTCAGCTACGCAAATAGCTGGCAGGCGCTGGTGGAGGGGGAGGCGATGATTGGGGGGGAAGGGATGCTATTGGGTGCTAAACACCCACCATTTTTTTTCCTGAGTGCTCCAGCCCCAGAGCGCCTATGGAGACGGCACCTATTTATTAAGGTCTTGTCTACACAGGAGATTTACCAGCATTACTAGACCAATATAATTATAGCAGTATAGCTAAACTGAGAAAAGGCCATGGTCATTGCCAGTAAGAATGTCTACACAGGGAGTTACACTTTATGGCTATTGCGGTATAATTAATATGGTGTAGCAAAGCTGGTAAATTTGACAAAAATAATTGTTTAAATGGAGATTTTGCTGATACTGTTGTGGCTGACGTTGCATTGTAAAGTTTCTCAGTTTTAGCTTTGCTGAGAATGCAAACAATCAAGATTTAGACAGACACAAACTAGGACAGCCCACTCAGGGGTGAAATTACCCCTGTCCAAAGGGCCATCATGAGGCAAGATGAATTTCATTCACATTCCTTATTCAGGGGAAGGTGCAGTCCAGCACTGAGCAAGGATCCCATTATTTGATCTTTAATTATCTAGATTTTTAAAGATCTGAAGTATTCAGATTTACTGGGCATTTCTTGATGCCCAATTCCTAAAACATTCCCTGTTTTGAACAGCTAAACTACAGCTTTGATGTTGCTTAAAGGGATGCTGTCAAACTGGCCCAGGTTTAATTCTGTAAAAACAAGCTACTGAAAAACATCAAAGAAAAATAGATGCATATCCATGTTTAATTTGCTGGGGAATTAGTGGGTTTACTTTAAAAAGCTGACCATAAAAAAATGCAGTGTTTGCAAACCATAAATTGCAGCATTGTGCTATTGCAGGGGTGTTTAAAGGTTAATTGGACCAGACACTGAAGCTGACTAAATTTAAGGTTGTTACTGGATTGCCACATAATTTTCACATGTGCAGAATTCTGTTAGATTTCTGTTAACCCTAACTTAAATTGCTCTGTGCATTATCGTAACTTGGCATGACTACAAGTTTTGAACTGTAAATTTCATAATGGGTTTGTAGTCTGTTTGCTATGCACAAAGCAACTGTAAGCCCGGTCCTCTGTCCTCAGCACATTTAAAATATGCCCTTTTTTTGCTGTGTAGACAGGATCTAGCCATCTTTAAACTGTGTCTCCAAGTCATGAAAAAGTCCTGGTACAGATTTGAGACACACCAGAACCTACGTATTCTGGATAAATAAACCCGTGTCTATATTGTTGTTGGAGGCATGCTAGTAATCACTGTGGACAGCACATTTGGACTATCACTGTTCTAGAGAAAATCTAGGTCTCGGAAATCACATGCAAACAAGGTAACTGCTAGTAGTATTGTTTCAACCATAGGACGAGAACTGCCCAGAGTGTGTGCGTTTCAAGTGTGCTCCACAGAATTTCCTGACCATTTTCATAAAACTTTCCAGGCTCTTTTTTCTAATTCGGAACACACAGCTCCCTTTGGCTAAGAGAAAAGTTGCTGAAAAAACTCCTGAGAAGAAAATCTAAATTCTGCAGGAAACTTGTGATTTCCTAGCAACAGTCTCCAAATACAAAAGGAATAATACCAGTCTGCAGCTGCCTGAGTTGAGGCTCTTGTTATTATGGTGCTTTATGACTTCTCTGGGACCGATTCCCTGTAACTCAAGTTCCTTGGTCAAGGGCTTCTGCTTCTAGAATACAACAGGCCTACTTCCTCCAGTCCAATTCTTCATTTGCTGAAGTTTTAGTTAAAAAAATCCCCCAAACTCCAGACAACTTTTATTTTCTACTCAGAGGCTGAGATTCTGAGCTGTGCCTCTGGGAGGCACAGCACTGAAAAGCACCTCCGGGAGGCAGGAGTTGGCTTTAAGGCACCTTTGTGACCTCCCTCTTCTGAGCTTCTCCGGGGCTTGGTGAGAAAATTGGAGCAACCTATTTACATCAAAGCATGGCGGCTGGAGTCCACCAAAACAACAAAAGGCCTGTCCCCACAGATAGAGGCACCCCAGAACTTAATTGAGTATGTGCGACAAAAAATGAACAAACAGGGACAAGGCTGCAAGCTGACAAACCTCCTCTCAACCCAGCATGTCCCATATGATGGGGCAAGCTACAGGCTCTGAGCATGGTGGCTTATGGCTGTCCTATACAGAGCCTGAACTGGGGAAACTCTTTCCCCAGCCAGGTACGGGGATTTAAGGGACCATACCAAGCGAGAGAAACCATTGCAGAATGTTTATTCCTGATTCCAGATTAACCCAAACTCAGAAAAAAAGTGCCTTGCTACAACAGCAAAACTACAGTCTCTCGACTGTTATAACATGGTTTGATGTCTGCAGAGTTCAGCATATAGTACATTACTGGAGGTGACTCATAATCTAGATCATTGTTAGGTACCATGGTTACAGCAGTGTCACGGAGTCAGCGGGCCAATGCTTTGGAACTACTCCATATGAAGCCAGTCAGGACTCTGGGGTAGCATGCCTCTTCTCTCTGAGCATACTGTCGCCAGGGCAAGAAGCTTACACAGCTTTGACCTTCCTGGGTCTGACCTCGGAGCATCCCCTTCCACACCATGCACTTCCCACAGTGAGTCTGCCCATACAGAGTGTTCCGGGGGAAGCCAGAGGGCCCTGCGCCCCAACTCCACAGTCAACAGCGACTCTCTGCCAGAGTAAAACAAAGGTTTATTAGTCGACAGGAACACAATATAGAACAGAACTTGTTAGCACAGAAATCAGTGACTTTCAGCCAAGTACATCTTGGGGGAATCCCGGGCCAGACGCCCTGGACTCCCCCCTCTAGTCCCCCCAAGCAGACTGCCCAGCTACCAGCGACCCGACCTCAACCCCCACCACCACCACCACCCCATTGCATCTTCTCCTGGTCTTTGTCTTGCTTCCCAGGCAAAGTGTCACCTGGTCGTCACCCGGTCACATCCCCCTCCTGGGGCTCAGGTTGTGAAGGGCACTGTCCATAGCCTACATGCAGGTAGCTGGAGCAACTTCACCTGTCCCCAAGGGTCTCAGCCAAAGTTACACACCCTTATTCCCATTGCCTAGGCACTGGTGCAGCACACAGGGAAACTGGAGCACACACAGTATTCATTCAAAACAGTAAGATTCACATAGGCTTATATACAACATAACAAGGGAAAATCCCCACTTCATCACAAACAATTTGGTCCCTTCTACAATGCTACCACTGTCATGATTTTATCATGAGTCTCATGGTATTTTGGTGATTTTTCTTAAAGCCCCAGCTCCCAGAATCATGTGATTACAGAGGACTCAGCTTACATTAAAAAAAAAATTCTAGCCTTCTTGGTTGCAGAGAAAAGCTTGAAAACATGACCTGAGTGAACCCTACAGCCTCAGAAAGCAGAATGCAAATAAAAAGAACCCATAATGTATTAATTTTTAAAATGATTATTTTGGGTCTCTTTCATGATTTTTTGATCACTCAAAGTCAGCAAGACTGCATGGACCTGAGCAAAAGCAAAATCCTTGTAATGTTCAGAGGCACTGCTTTGCTATAGCATTATCTCCACTGCCCACCCAACAGCAGGGTAACTTTGCTAGTGTAGCTGGGCCCCAACAATAGGAAAAAACATCTGACCCACTCACCTGTGTTGTGTCCAGGTATTCTACCCATCTCTACTGAACTCCACAGGGGACCCTAAAGACCTTCACCTAAGCTCAGACCCAGGGGGGTCAGGTGGCTCCAAATTTGGGTGACTAGCCTGGTGTCGCAACATCCTCACTGATATTTTTACTGTCGGCAGAGTTTTGGGCTGGCTGACAGAAGACAGAAATGAGGAAGACCTATTAGGTGATCCAGGGCATCTCCTGGCCAGTGCAGGATTGTTCCATGCACTGCATATTCAATAGAATCCTAACAGAGATGGAAAAGACCTTTTAGGCCATCAATCCATCTCCCTACCGGGAGCAGTTCACTCATTCCTAATGTAAACAGGCCCTGAGTAACTGCCAGCTGTGAACATGTAATCGCACCTTTGAGCTTAGACACACAGAAACATGCCCATACAGTGCATTTGTCTTTTGGTCTGCAGCTGTACATTCAGTTAAACCTCACTTCGCTGCTGTATGAGTTCGTAACATAGCCATTTTCCTTTCTGAATGAAACACCATTGACAATATCCTGATTGCCACAAACATCTGAGAGGAAAACCACTCACCGTAGCTACTAAAGGAGTCCTGCCTTGCAGTTTCAAAATGTGGTTGTGCCTTATAACAACTGCTGTCACACTACAGTTAAGGTATCACTATCTGTGGGGGCATTCTAGATTTTTTTTATTGTTGTGGGCTGGCTCACCCCTTCTGCAGTAAAGCTCATGAGATGGGCTAAGGCTGAGGAACTCCCACAGGTTCTCCTCATGGAATTTCCCTTACATTGTTCCGTGTGGGTGTGTTTGGTTTACCCCATGACTTCCTCATATAGAACAGACCCAGGGCTGGCCCCTAAACAGGGATCCCCTGGGATACACAGCGTATGTCTACACTGCAGCTGGGATCCAGGTTGGCTTGAGCTAGTGTGCTAAAAATATCAGTGAGGATGTTGCGGCACTGGCTGAGGCTCAGGCGAGTCACCCAAATTTGGAGCCACCTGACCCCCTGGGTCTGAGCTCAGGTGGCTAGCCCAAGCCTCCACTGGTGCTGCAAAGGCCACATTGCTATTTTGAGCTAGCACAAGTCTGTCTACCTGGGCTGGGAGGCATGCTCCCATAGGGGATAAGGAGACTCTGTACTTCTGTACTGGCACTAGGGGCAGCACACCCATCATCTGCTCCCTAGCCACTCAGGTCCCCCAGTCTTCCCCTTCCATCCATCCCTGGCATGCCCCCAATGCACTGGAGTCCCCACCTTCTCCACTCACATGGATCCCAACTGAACAGTCCTTTTTGGGGTTCCAGGAACGGGGGTGAGTGCCACAGAAGTAGCTGACCCCGCCACACTCCTTCCAAGTGGGAGACATGAGATCCATATATAGATCCATGCATGGATCACAGGAGCATGAGCAGGCCCTTTATCATTTTTCATTCATTATTTATAGGATGTTGTATATGTGTGTGGAGCTTTACAAATAAGACATGGTTTAGGAACAGGAATTCTTTCTGGGAAAAACAAACAAAAAAAGTTATATATAAAGTTACTTTTGTTGCCACCCCCTCACCTTGAAATCCAGTTAGTTTCAAAAAGTCTACATCTATCCCTAGGATCCCCTGACAATGTTTGTGGCTTTACAAGCACATTTTCCTATTGACTCCAAAGGCACATCCATCTTTGTGGATCTGATTGCAGGATCACGGCCAATGGTGCCAGCTCTCATGATTTTATCAGAGACTCACACTATTTGGTGTTTTTCTTAAAGCGCCAGCTCCTGGAGTTGTTTTTTCTGTGTTTGTGCAAGAATCTCAGCTCTCAATTTAAAAAAAAAAAATTAAAAAGTCAGTTTCTAGCCCTGATAGTTGTGGAGGAAAGCTTGAAAAGGTAAAACTTAAAGGCTCAAAAACCAACAGGCAAATAAAAAGCCTAAAGTTTGTTTGGTTTAAAAATCATGAGTTAAAAACCATCTCCTGAATTTTTAGGGAGCCTGACTCATGTATTTTGAATGACTGAAGTTTGGGGGAGGGGGTTCCACTCTCATAATGATTTAAATTACATTTTTCATGGGTTATTCCATAATTTCACTAATTACTATAGCTCTCGGGGAAAGAAACGACACAGAGGAATGTAAAAATGAACATGTGGCTTCATTTACAAAAGTAGCCACTGTGCCAGGATAGAAAATACACTTCATGAAACACTTCAAAGGAGCTTGTCAATACACAGAGTTACTGGACATACATCTCAGCTACACAAATATGAGACATTGCAGCGGTTCCAAACAAAACATTACTGTCTGCTATTTCAATCACGCTCTAATTAAAGAATCCTTAACTTTACTTTAAAGGTGACCTGCAAAGGAAAAATATGGACTTGTGCCATTTTTTTTCTTTTATTATGCTATATAAGACGACTTAGACACGTTCTTTCAGGTTTTGTCTACACTAACACTTTGTCAGCAAAACTTTTGTCGGCCAGGGGGGGTGTTTTTTCACACAAGTTTCACCAACAAAAGCGCCGGTGTGGACAGCGCTATGTCGGCAGGAGACGCTCTCCTGCTGACATAGCACTGTCCACACCGGCGCTTT